TCACCGGGTCCTCTGAGACACACAGCATCGCCCGCAAGGGGCGCCTGGGGACGAACAACGGGGCGCGCATCTGGGCGAAGTAGAAGCCACGTCTGCTAGAATCGGAGAATGAAAGGAATTAACATCACTATTACCCTGGATTCTTCCAACCACCCAAAACGACCAGAAAACCAAAAAGACACTTTTGGTAGTTGGAAGGTCCAGGACTGGAGGTGTTTTCAGGAAGATTCTGAGTCTGCTTTTTTTTATATATAAATAGTGGACGCTTTTTGATGGATCGGTGCCCGTGAGATCGTGAGATATACGACTTTCGTGAGATGATGAAAGGATTGGAACGCCGGACTCAGGAGGTAAACTGGTAAAAGTCGTAAACGTCAATGTTGCAGAATCAGGGAGTGAGCAGCGTTGGGTGAGGCACCATTGGGTGGTTTTGGTGCGTTGTTTCTCATGTTTCTCGACAGGGCGAAGAATTGATACCATGAAATGGCAGGAATGCACTAGTATGCACTAGTTGTGTTTGCACTTTATAGTTACTAGCTTGCATTTCAAACTAGATCCCATTATATACCTACATGCTTGAGGGATTATAGCTATTGTGTTTGCAGATCCCATGGGATCCTGCCCAGATCCCATGCATGGGATCCTGCCCAGAGGAGAGAGGAAAACGTGTCTCCGGATGTGTCTGGTGAACACCAAGCCACATCTGCCAGCTCATGGTGCACCACGTGGGGACAATCCAAAAGAACGTCGAAGGATACCGAAGAAGTTAGGCAAACTATAGGAGAAGATTCTAGAATCTGACGGTGTCCGCCATTCAGTCTGATGATGCCTGATGGCATCTGATAGCTTTCTGAAGTTTGTCCCAAGTGGTTCCAGCCTGCAGGCTGCATGCAGGCTTTGTTCCAAGATGTCCCACGAGTCTCCAGGAAGGGCCTTATGAGGGAAACTGGAGAGTATTTTGAGTAGGGCAACCTCACTCCTTCAGTGTATTCATCCAACTTCACCCGCATCGTTGTGCCTTTTGCCGTCTTCCAAGACGTTGAACGACTCAAAGAGCTTCCGGAAGGCTGCCTGGGTGTGTTCTGGTGATGCACTTCAGAATGCAGGCTTGGGAAGAGCAGCATGGAGTGACTCCGTGGCATTGCGAACCCTGGAATGCGACACCTGGTGACCTTCGATGGATGACCATGAAAATCCAAATGACCAAAACCGGTGGTTCTCACTCCGCCGACCCATGATGATTCCAGGGAGTAAAACCACGACCCATGGGCCACGCCGGTGCCTCCACCGGTGCTTTACTCGGAACCGCAGCCGTGGCCGCGGTCTCGGTCCAAGGCACGAAGTCTCGGTCTAGGAGGGTCTCATCGTCCACCACCTTAGGGAACACGGCCGGCTTCCTGATACGGATCCAACGTAACGGGCCGACCGCTGCGAGAAGAGGATATAAACTGTATTTTTTTTTGCCATTGACCAGGAGTCACAAGACGGGGTGCGGAGGTTAGGGGTGCCCAGAACATCCACTCACTTAGCGACCAAACACCACCCCTTTGTGACCCCTGGGGGTATAATTGATTTTCATTGGGTCGAGTCCATCCGGGATCAGCCTTCTAATTGTTCAATCTGTTTTGGCAGAATGACTGCCAGGAGAACAGTTCTTGTCGAAGAAATGCTTCCTTCATCTTCCCCCAAATCCAAACACCTTAATTACTGTAGGTATCTTGTACTTTGTCCGATCCAACGGAGCACTTCTGTGGTACAAGTCACGCAGACACACGTTCCGAGTCCTGCGCTACTAGCGGGTCCATCCGTCCAGGGAATGGAAGACCTTAAGGTGTACACTCCCCGAATTGAATTCATCGTGGCAGTGTAAAATGTATCATATAATTACCCGTTCGGGCTCCAACTATATCCTCAGCTTCGCTGGAATTCGACCCCCCTGGCACCTACCCCAACCACCCTTCTCAGATTTCTCACAAGGTGGGCCAGGAGCCCTATAGGGATATATCTCCCCTTACATGGACTCCTCTACAACACCGGTGCTTTTCCACTCTCCACTCTGCGACCCCCCAAGCGACTTGGAGCGACCGGAGCTCGCTCGTGTCGACCGACCCCAGGGGACCCTGGCCACATGGACTTTCTTCTTCAAGGCCACCACCACGTAAATGGCCAAGGCCTTATTAGGCGAACGGAGGCGAACGGCCGGCGAGTTCGGTGGCGGCCAAGGCCTTAGGCGTTCGGAGAAAACCGAAAGGGGATGGGGGCTGCTGAGAAGGAGATCCGAAACCAGGCGCAAGCGAACAGTGAAACGAGTAGAATCGATTTCGGGGTACTCAGTCATGCCTGCCATTGCCTGCCTAAGGCAGTCCTGGAACATGGTGTTACACGTCAGTTAGAGAAATGTTCACAACTCTTTAGGTGACTGTCTCGGGCAAAGTCTTGGGTATTGTTCGTTCCTCAAATTTAATTGGTATTGCCAATGTTCTACTCTCGGTATCTTCTTTACAAACGGAAAGCTTCTCCTTTTGGGGGACCAACAGGACGCCACTATCAAAGCTCTTCCAATCTTGGACCCATTGAATGCTATAGGGGGCAAACTCCCTCCACAGCATTTAAAACCCTTTCCCATTTGAGACTGGATTATCCAAGGGCACTACCTCAATACACAAATCTCACGTGTCTCTCCCACCTACCGAGGGCCCTTCGCTGCACCGAGTCCTCCCACGGCCACGATCATCGACTTGCCTTCGCCCGTGCCCACCTGCGGGTTCACCAGCCGAGGGCGCAAGGTTCTGTGACGGAAGCTAAAAGGATCAAGTGAGAAGAAAGAACACCTCCCCCCGCATATGTTTGGCATACCTCAACATCTCAGGCCAAAAATACATTTAAACAATTGTTGCAAATTGAAGGCTTGCCTGAGCCCATCTGAGCCCTATCCAACTGACTGGTGCCACCCCTGATCCGGGCATCTGAAGATGAAAATGGATGATTTCATCCAAACACTCCATGGGATCTGGGATTGACGCCTACATTTAACCGGAACAAAAATAACATCCCAAGTAAATACTCCAACTGATCAGTAAATACTCAAGCTTCGGCCTATCCGATTACCATGATGGTTCAGTTGCAGGCCTTGTTCAAAAATAGCGCTTTGCTGACGGCTCTACGGGTACTGTAAAAGTTCGAAGAAACCCAAACTCAAGCAGGACAGCTGGTGTCTGGCTCATGATGGATGTTCCCATAATCTGGACCTGCGAGCAGGTCACTTGTCCAATGCGCGCCAGCGCGCTTTGTTTGGATCGCATGGGGCCCCCGCCAATGGTTGGGTGAGCAACGCAAATCAACTTGTTGGTTGATCAGAATCACCAAACCACAATGGAGCAGACATGAATAGTTTGTTCACCTAGCCCTCCCTGAAACTGACATGCGTATACGGCATACCCCCTTACGTTCGGAAGCCCAGAAGAAGACCAGAAGAAGACCGCATATACCAAACAAAGGGGATCTTCACTCTCCGGACCCTCCAAAAACTAAGGGTCTGGTTTAATCCCCCAAACCTCTACATCCTAGTTACGAAGGCTTCGAGCCCTGCCGTTTGGTGCGTGTTCGGGTCCCGTTCGGGTCCAGTTTGAGGGCTTTGGGTCGATCTTGGCCAACCACTTTGGCCGCCACCGGGTCGATCTCGTCCCGGCTCGGCGGCTCGGCGGCTCGGCGAGTCAACGCGTGCCTGCGCAATGAGTGCTCGGATCTGGTCGTCCACCGGTGCCTGCCGGAGGCCATGACATGTCGTGCTCAGTTCGCAAGGCTCAAAAAACACAAGAACCACCCAGACATGATGACATGATCATACATGATCATTCGAGTCATATATGTTGTCAAATTTTGTCATATCGTGTCGCCTCAACTCCAAACGCGAAGTGACCAAGGATCTGGCTCGTCCAGTTCGGACAGACGTTGGACCAACCGGTCGGAGATCTTAGAATAGGAGGGCCTCTTCAAGAGCAATGGGTTCCAATCACAGTCTGCAAAAACCTGCGTTGTAGGCGGCGGTCCAGGTATTGTCTGGACATTATAAGATGGTCGAAGCATTTAGCAAACAAAAAAGTAATGCCCAGTTCAATGCGGAGCAGCATTTTCTGGGAATTGTGCAGGTGTTTGCAGGATGTTGTGGGACACTTGCAGATTTTGGTCGGAACCTTTTACGATTCAGCACAACAAGGCGTTGTAACACACAACCAAAGTAGGAAGGGACATACCAAATCATCAAGTGGTCTTGGACCTTTAGAAGGACCAAGACCACTTAATACATTTGGACCTGGGTGGGTGCTTATTGGTACCTTTCGTAAGGGTCTGTCAAAGGACGTGAAACAGATTTTTGCAGGTTTTGATTGGAAGATTCTGGGTGTTCACAGATTTTTCTGGGAATTTGTCGTTTGATACTGGTCTCTTGGTGCTCAAGCAACCCAAAGCAACGACGCCAGGAACGCCAAGCGCCTCCAAGAACCGTTGGAACGCCAAGAGGCAAACCACCTGCACAAACGCGTTCGCACAACAAGTGGAGCCTCGCGTTGCGTGTGTCGTTGGGCGCGTGGAGCCGTAAGAACTGAGTGCATTTGGGGGGGGCCAAACAAGTACAAGGAAGTGTTTCAATACACCATGGATCATAGATGTTGCAAGAGATTCGGGCGCGTGTATAAACAAGGACAACTGTCCTGGTATACAAGTATAACTATATACATAGGGTTATAGATACTTGTGTACCTATTTTATTAAAGCAGTAGGACAAAACACGTTCTCAACATAAGTGTAATGGAACTCTTCCTGGCCCTGAATAACTATCTCTTGGGCTTGCCCCTGAATGATCATCTAGCTTCATGCCCAACTTGGAAGCATTCAAAGATCACGAATCCAACATATCCAACCTTCCAAAGATAATGATGCTCCACACCCCTGGGTCCAGGCAAACCCAGCGACATCTCCCACTGCTCCCGTGCCATTTTCTCCGATGCTTGGCAGGGTTTCGGGCGCTTCTTGGCCCGGGGGGTGCTACGGAAAAAAATCAGGCTGGCGCAACCGTGGAATGATGCCGTCTCCCGGAATCGCAGTGTTTAGATGTCTCATGGCATGGCAACCGTGACAGCCCCGACCATCCCGTGTCGCAGCAGTCATGGAGACCACTGCAAACTGCACGGTCTCCAACTTGGGTACCTTTGGCGAGGTTTCAGAATTATGGCGTCATGTCAAAGTCATCCAGGCGGTCAGGACAGCTCGGGGGCGCGTATAGGCCTCGGCAAGGTCGGCGTTCGAATAATAAGTCACTCCTTTTCAAGTCGGCACCCGTTCTCTTGAACATTCTGAATCACTAGCCCCATGTCAAAATCTGTGGGTTCCTCTTCCAAACTCCACTGTCAAGCAAGCTCCTCAGGTAATCACAGTATATCAATTTTCCTATGTTATATGATATATTATGATGTTATACTATAACATATATATTTAACACAGTATATGAATGGTGGGCCCCGTGGGCATTTGACTGATTAAGCGTCGATAATGTTAACTAATCATTAACTGTCCTCCATGTTCTGGACATGTTTTCACAGGCCAAATTCAATTCATGGGTCACGGAACCTTTTCGATCATGTGAAGATATGTGAATTCATGGGAACTCACCCCTCCAACTCGGTGTCCTTTTCATTCCGTTGTCATTCACCTCCGCCCACCGACACCGCCATCCGCCCGAGCAGCCAATGGGTGATCCACCCGAGCCCAGCTCGTTGAGTCCATGGGGCATCGAGGCCCACGCCGACTCGGCGCCGATGTGCAGGGGATGGTGGGCTGGTGGTGGGGTGGTGGAATGGTGGAGAGATGGGGAGTAATGGGTCTTGAAAAGCAAAGGAGAAAATCCATGCACACTCTCTCTCTCTCTCTTTCTCTTTCTTACTCCCTTTCTCTCTCCCTTTTTTGGGGGTGGTTGGCCACTGAGACTGCATGAGACATGGGTGCCTGGATTGATATCAAATTGATACTCAGAACTCACACGGCTCAGGGGCTCCAAAGACCAGGTCCAGCCTATATATTATATGGCATAATTAGTTTGATGTCTATCACCCCCGAAGAAAAAATCTAACACGAAGGTCTATAGTGACGAATTCCCGGATAGCGGAGGGCGGGAACACAATGTGGATGGGGCAAGTGCGTGATATCCCGAAAGACTCAGACCAAAAAAAGTGGCCGATTCTCGAATTTCATCAAATTCCTTTGGCACCAACCGAGTCAACCTTTCTGATTCTGGGTCATCTTCCACCAACCTTTGTCCGCCGCCCGACCGGAGGCCAACCGAGCGGTACCAGAAGTCTCGGGCGAAAGACGAGCGGTGCCCAGGGGTGATTGGAATCACCAGCAGACCGTTACAAATTCACCTGACCAGGCTGGGTGGAATCTGGATTCCTTCCGCGACCCGTATTCAATATGAGTTGGTATTTCAATATGATTATATAAGTGTTAATATCTTGGTTAATAGGGAAATCCCTCACCAATGGTTGTGATCTTTTTTGCTTTCTTTCCAGGGGGTCCAACAGTCCTTCCTATTCAAAGATACACCCAGGTCCCACCTTAGCTGCTAGCCGCCCAGTCATGCGCCATGGATGGTGCCCAGTCAGCCAGTCTCGACTTCAAAACCGACTTGCCGCCACCTAAGACCCAGGCCGACTTGCGTAGGGGCATCACCTGATCCATCAAACTGGTGCGCCCACGGTGCCAAACGACGTGTGAGGGGTTGGGTGGGTAGGTGGGTGTCTGAGATTGGTGGGTGTCTGAGATTTGGATGAAGGCTTTTGGGTGGAGTCATTCTTGAAGTTGATTTCTGTAGCTGCTTGGTGGCATGCTGAAGCGCCTGGTGGCAACCAATCATCCAATTAGGTTAAAAGGTTCTCTACTTTTCCTGGGTAGGCTTACAAACACTTGAATGAGGCAGCGGTCCAGTAAGTCCAGGCATCCCATCGTAGCTGCGAAAACCGACACCCAGGACAAACTGGCACAGTCCCACCACCCGCGGAGGGCCCTACATTTCTGCGTCTTGTGCGGGTGTCACGTGTTTCCATCAGCTACCTGGTGACAAATCGCCAGTTCATCTAGCACAAGTTCAAGCACTCTGAGACTCTCAGAGCCTGGCCTTTGCAACACGAGGTTCCTCCTTGATCTCTTTCAAGTCAAGGTCATCACCTCGGATTTGGTGAGCTCACCTCCATTCTGAACCACAAATCGAAGGCTGCTGGCTGTCGGAGGGCTGTCTATAAGTCTGGACGGATGCGATTTCGTGGGATTTATAGGGTATCACGGTATCCCGTGTCTTAACGGGGGTGCATGGCGGGGGAACCAACCCACTAAGGGGAAGCAACCCTTCTATCCATCGGTTGTTTGTTCAAACCCTGCTGGCCGGTTTTGCAGGAACCTGTTGCACCACTCTTGGCGTGGAAATCCTTCACTTGATGTCCAATGCTTGAAGCCACTGAAGGCGGACCTGCACCTCTAAGCCCTTCCACATGTTGGACTGGAGGTTGCAGTTAACAATTGAAGCCGTCCCAATAACATTGGGACACCCCAAACACTCCTTGTATGGCAAAATATGCCCAACCCATGAAACCACCATGCCCTGCAAATATTCCATACCATTCCATGCCCTACAGTGTCTGGCAAGGCCCAGCGCATCTGTGTGTCCCAACGTGTCACCAAGTGCGTCGACAGCGGTCGATCTGAGCGTGGTGGCCGAGAAACCAACGGCCCGATATGGCGTACAGCATTGGCGCCATTAAGGAACCGGAAAACACCTCCCTGAAATCAACATGGAAGTGGAGTGGCTACACCTCCTGAAATCATATGATGATCCTGAATCATCACCGGTTACAGGTTCTTTGACACTCCCTGAAATCATGGAAGTGGAGGCGAACGCCACCTATTTGGAGTTCGGAATGTGGTCATCCAAGGGGCCATGCCATTCACTTCCATGGTATTTCAGGGAGTGCAAATATATACGAATTTGCTCACAATGTTGGAATGTTCCGTAATGTTCCCAATGTTCCTTCGGCAGAACCCTAAGGCCTAAGGAAACCAATGTCAGTCTGCATGATGGTGAAAATAGTGAGATGTGTAAGTGTTCAAGAGGGTTGCAGGTATACAACACAGTACAACCTCAAGGCCGCTTTGCTTGATACGCTTCGATGTCATACAATGCTACCTCTGCAAACATCATCACACAGCCGAATCTTTGAAGCTTGCTCAGCTCGCCTTCCTCACTGGAAGGCTGTGCATCTTTGATTGAAGGCAATTGACATAGCTTTGAAGAACCCCATCGCAAACACCAGGGTTCTCTGACTCAGCTCCCATTCCCTCTGCAGCCATAGTTCCAAACCTGCCCGGCCTTTCAATTCCTAATGCTGATGAACAAATACCCCCAAACTTGCAGCATCCTGCAGGTGGAATCCATCTGTGACTTTCGCTTGAGAGGTCAAACACTTGCAAAACATGGCAAAACGCAGGTAGGACAAGTTTTTTCTTTGCTGCATGCAGGCACATTGTTTTTCTCGAATTGCTCGTGTTTGTGAGAGTTGAGTAGATCAGCCACTCCTAAAAGGATCTTGAGGCCAAAAAAAACGACTTCAACCCCTCCATCTTCAGCCTTGTGCTCCGAAGCTCGCGGGCATTGATTGGCGCCGGAAATCTGCCAGGTTTTTCTCACAAGCAAGAGGCTGGGGTGAATGCTGTGGTATCGGTGGTTTTCTCCACCAATGCACTCCTGCATGAACCTATCCAACGCTCCCTCTTCTTCTTCAGTGGACGTGACGTCCTGCACCCCCACGTTAGTTAGAAGTATTTTCCGAAGACCAAACATGTGGGTTTTCTACAGCAATGCTTGTTCCAAATAGAGTGAACATGCTTGTTCACAGTCCACTCGCCTTTTCCCAATGTCCTGGACATTTGGATCTGGTCCAGCCAACCCAGTTCTTTGTGACCCGATCTCCGCACTGATCGCTGCACAACTGCCTTCGAAATAGGGCTATTGCCCCCCCCCCCACCCACTCCAACAAAGGTGGAAGAACCCTATAGGCCATTCCATAGGTACCCTGGTAGGGTCCTATTTACGGTCACTTAACCTCTGTTGGCTGAGTGGACGATCGCCACATGATTCAGTACACGTCACCGTGTTGTCTGCGCACCCTCCCCGTGCACACCGGCTGCGCTATGCTGCAGCTCCTCCCGTCGGTCAGGCCTTGTTTGGTGGTTTCGCCTGGGGCACAGGAGCGGTGATCCGGGTCAACTTTGGTCCGGCATCAAAAGTCTTCGTCGATCGTCATTTGGCTAATTTCATCCGGCCACAGATTCGGGATGCAGCTTCAGAGTTTGGGAGATCCACACACACAAGATAGTGGGAAAACTCATGTGAAGTCTCAGCGAACATCCGCAGGTTGGACAAACCAAATAGCTCGCCTTCCACAGAGACAACGCCAACCTTCTTCTTCTCTTTCACCACCTGGCAGGTTCCGAATTTGGATGTCGCTCGAACGGCGTGTCGCTTAGGAAGCGTGTCGCATGGTGCTGACTCTCGCACGTCAAGACTTACAGTGCCTGCCTGCATATTGCGGTTGTGCAATGATTGGTCTTTGTCTTGGGGCAAACACACACATCGCGTAATGAAAAGATCCAAGAGCGACACTATAGCTGGAGCCCATCATATTCCTGTGTAACGCGAATCCTATAATAAGAATGCAGAAAGGTCCTAGGTCCTAAAACAATTCAAATTCCTTACATCGTGCAGTCAAGACTTAGAAAAAACTTTCATATGGTAAGGCCAGAATCCTTGAAAAAAAATCGAACAAAAAGTCAAATAAAAGTAAACTGGAGAAGTCAAAGTCAAAAAAAAACCAATTGACAAGTCAAAAAACAGTCCAAACAAGTCAACCATAGGCCACAGCTCGAAAAAGTAAAAACAAAACACGAACAAAAAGTCGAAAAAAAAGTCAAACAAATCGAATTCAATAAAACTCGAAGAACTAAAAAGAAAACAAAAAAATAAACCACTCGAAAAAGTCAAAAAAAAAATCGAAACAAAAGTAAAAAAAATCGAAAAAAAAAGTCAAAAAAAGTCCGAAAAAAAGTCGGATCTGGGCAAATTGATTTTTGTTTGACTTTCTGAAACTTTATGACTTGAATTGTTTGTGACTTTGACTTTTGGGATTAACTTTATTGATTTTTTTAAAATACAAGCTCTTTCCAATGAACGTTCGGTATAAGTCAAGACCACTTATATAGTCCAGCTCGATGGAGCCGAGCCAAACCTAATGGCTCACATCAGCCAAAGTGACAAAGGAAAAAGCATGAACAACACAATGAACAACTCTTGACCGTCTTGACCTTGCTTTGTACTCTCCCCGGCTCCATGCCCAACTCAACCCCATGCACACGCCGCAATAGCCCTGCTGAAACGAACATATGGACCCTTAAAAAAACAGAACTGGGGACCACTAGAGTGCGTATTTTATGTGTTTTTGCTGCCTACTTCCATCTATGTGCTATAAACTTCCCACTGTGGCCTGCATTCATGCTATGTGTCTGTGAAAGCTGCCTCAATGTCCTTTGCACTGGAAAACAGCAAACACAAACAGGCTCGAGAAAATAGAGAAAACCAATAACAACCTGGGAAAAGCCAAAAACCTTGGGAAAAAACAAAAAAACAAAAGAAAAAAAACAAACAATTCTCAGAGACTCTTGGCTGGACCCCCCCCTTTCCTCAAGACTTCCCCAGAATTTGTGTCGTTTTTTAGTTTTGGTTCTTTTTTTTTGGGGGGGGGTCCCAAGGTTTTTTTCTGCTTTTCCTAGGTTATTATTGGTGTTCTCTTTTTTTGTTTGTTTTTTTTGTTTTCCTATTTAGGTCAATCTGTGTTCTTACTATTTCGTTCAACCTTCAAGTATGTGAGCCTAAGTCTCACCTAAAGGCATATGTTCTTTGCTCTTACAATGAAAGCGTGTGAGCCCACCACTCCCTTTGTCCTTGTCGAAATCTCCATGTACAAGTCTGTGCATTAACTTCTGATTGGTATCAATGTGGTTGCCAATTGCATGTCCAATCAGCTTGACATGAAACTGTAATGATACCTTCCAATTTACATGAAATTGTTATGAATCTGTGTAAGCTGTAGTTCTAATTCAATGCTTGTTGCTTTTGCTTCGGCTTTGTAATTTTGAAGCCTCCTCGACTTGTGCATCTTGTAGCTCAAGCGTTTTACATCTTATTCTGGCGAACTTCTAATTTAACTAAAATTCCTTTCTAATTCAACTCTCATCTAATTTTAAATAGGTTATAGTCATAATTATAGTTCAATACAAGTTTAGTTGAAATTTGGCTTTAATTCAGTTCTATCTTTCTTAGCTCTAACTCAAATCCAATTTAATTCTACCTAATTCTATTCTAGCTCTAGTCTATTTAGTTTAAGAACACACATGCCACAAAACCCCCGTGTTTTACAGTATTTTTTTGCCCTGGGAGTGCTGGGAACAAGACTAAAACTCTTTTTTTGAAGTAAATAGTTAGATTTTGTTTATTTACGTATTAAAGTTGTTTTATGTACAAGCTTGAAATTCAAGAGCTTCCCTCTAGATCTCTGTGGATGATCATTTCTACAATTAAAATATATAAAAGCGTTCATTTCAAAAGCTTTCCTCTGGATCTCTGGAAATGATCATGTCAATTTAAACATGCTATATATATATATATATCAATAAATATGTGTTTCTTTCAAGAGCTTTCATTTCATGAAAACACATATATGGGACATCTACTTTCCCAGAGATCCAAAAGAAAACTTTGAAAATGCAAGCTCTTACCCGCAGAGATCTAGAATAAAGCTTTTAACATACAAGGTTTCTATATAAGTTGTTTAAATCTAAAAATGATTATCTGCAGAGATCTATAGAGAATCTTGTGTAACATAAACGCGTCTATATAAAATCTGTCCAAATCTAAGCATAATTATAAGCAGAGATCTAGAGACTTTTTTTATGGCCTGCTTCTTTCCTAATTATTTTGTTCAAAACCATCTGAATGACTGCTTGCTGCTTCCAAAACAATAAAATGATCCTGATTCAGGAATACATAATATATTTGTTCATATAGAGAGAGCAGGAGCAGATTAAATTATATATATATATATGTGTTTATATGGAGAGGGGCTACCACTGAAGCATTTACCTAAAATTTTGGGAAAACCAAAACCCAGGCCCCATGTTAGAGTAGAGTGGTATCTTCTGCCCTGGAGTGAAAACAGGCATCTTTGCATATCTTGAGCATCAAACGATACCAAACACTTTTAAAAAACAATTAAACAACTGCACTCTCACAGTCCCCGCTCTCTAAAAAATCCACTGCATGGATCTGCATGGTTCCTATATAGGGGAAACCTTCTCACGGCCCACGTTACTTCGGCCACGTCCAAACGCGCAAAACACGCCGAACGGCCGGTCACGGCTGTGCCGAAGCGATGCCGTCGCCTGGTCCACTTCCAGCAGCGCCTGGGCCATGGCGCGTTCCGACGCCTCCGCCTCCGCTGCCTGCTTACCTCGGCCGAAGCGAGCGCCAGCGGTCGGGGAAGGCGGGAAGGCGGGCTGTGGAGGGTAGCTATCAGGGGGAATGCTATCAAGATCTATCAAGTCTTTTTGACTGTGGGACGGGACACATCTAAGGACAGTCATTTTGCCTTACAGTCTCATGCTAAACAGACTGCGTAGAATAGACTCCATAGACTCAGCACATGAATATTCCACCATGTCCATGTTTCTTTTATCTTGGACCCGTACGACTTCCGACAGTCTCTTCTCCCAAACCCCTTGAGTTCGGTCTTGACATGTATTGACCCTTCTCCTCAGCGCCACGCTCAAATACCTCACACAGTCCTCGAGTTCGATAGCTCCAAGCAAAATGACGCCAGTTCTGTCTATCGAGTCTATTTTCTTCATGCGATCATCGACAGAACTGCGTCTTGGTTTATTGGTTGTTCCAACTTGAGGCCAAGGGGGGCGAAAGCTAGCGCTCCAGAATGGGAAAGTGGAGGGCAGCGAGGTAGGAAAAAA